GAGTTTTTTCAATATTTTATTTGTTTTCAGCACACCAAAATACATGGAAATTGGATGAAAATAATCAAACAGCTTTTTAGTCGCAGACCTGTGAACAGTTTTATTGGGGGAGGAGGGCGTCGACTACAAAAATGTTGCAAACCTAGAAACCACATACAGGAACAGAATGGTTTTTACAAACTACTGTATTCAGTGGGCTATGTACTAGAAAAAGAAAGATTCCTCTCATCCTTCGTCTCCAGAAAGAAAGAGAAACAGTTTAGAATGAAGAAAACTCACTCGCTGGACATTTGCTCCATAGAACATGTCATTGCAGATCTGAGTTTTTCCAGCATGTCTCTCGTTTACAGTGAAAAAAATCGAGAAAGTTATCTGGAATCTTGGAATTTGAATATGCCCCAATCTTTTAGAAAATTCTGTGCAACTCACCAAAATTCATATTGTTTACATGTATTCATCTGGATGATCTCATTAGATTTTCTTATATGGAAAGAATAGTGAATATTGTCACTTTGATGCCTATAGGAATAGAGTTTTGTAATTTTACCAAGAGCACACATACCCTTGAAATATGTTCTGCTACAGGGAATTACTGTCAACATGAGAGAAACTATTCCTCTCGTGTACATCTGGTGATGAATGCCTTAATATCCAGGAGGCCAATCCCTTGATGGCAAGAAAAGAGTTGCAGCTCTGGATTCAATGCCATGAGTTTGGTTCTATCTCAGGCCATTCCACAGAGGAGCCTACCTCACAAGATGTCAAGTAAAGGAGATCAATTGTTGCATTAATGGCTAATACCAGCCAATCTGGCCAAAAAGCTAGTCAAACATGAAGCAGGAATTATAATCTCATCAAACTGTCATTATCAACAGGTAAAGTTGAGGATAATATTACTGGCTGTGAAAAGTTTTATATCAAGTTAGTTGTAGCAAATATTGGTGCAAATACATAATGTAATGAACAGTGTTTGTCTAAACAATCTGGGTGGAACCAGATCAAGGAATCTTAAAAAAAGTCAAAGAATCGATAAGTGAATGTATGCTTATTCATATCAACAGGGTACATAAAGGTATCACTGACTACCAGTTAATAGCAAAATATTTCAGGACAAATGGGTCCAGTTACAGATTTTAGAAGACTGTAAGAAGGTGGAGATTTCCCTTTCATCAACCTATCTGCAAAGGCAGGTAACCACCAATAAAGATGATTCTTTTCAAGACCACAGAACAAAGGCAAATGATGCCCTGGCAGCATCATAACTGGCTCTATATATTCCCTTTGATGCCAGTGCTATCCAAACAGTAACAAAGATGTTCAAGCTATGGGTGATTTTAGTCACTCCATTCTGCCCTAACACCCCATTGCTCTTTGTCCTGATAAATATGGTGAAGACCTCCTGTAGAATACTGAAATAGCAAACATAATTTCTTAAGGTCCAGTTTTTCACTGGAGTCAGATAAGATTGCAAGTTCACATGTTCCAGTCTAGAGCTTGAACAATAATTTTTTGAGTTGTGACTCTAAATTATAACTTTGAAACTGAATAGGAACATCTGTGCCTAGCAGTGAAAACTTTCTGGTATTTTGGAGACCAAATATTGATTTATCATATGATTTGATATGCTTTTGAATATGTGAAAAATAAAGATAATTGTGGCACCAGCATCAAGGGATCTACAACTATTGAGATTCTTTTCGGTGGGCCTGGATAGAATTCTATCAACCAATAGATTACATAGATAGCAGTTTGGGACTCAGTTCTCCTTAGTAGATAAGGGGCATCTTTATCTGACCACTCAGGTGTGCTTCTTCCTCAAAGTCACAGGCTCATCTCACTCCAATCTATTTGACTTGACACTGAATCATCAAGCTCTAATGCCTGATTACTTTGAATCACATTAGGCCAGCGGTCCCCAACCTTTCTGGTTCTGCAGACTGCCGTTTCGGGCCGAAGAACTCTGCATTAGGAAATTCCTCATTAACATATTGTGCCTATTCGATAGGACTAGCTTGGCTAGAAGGGGTCATGAATGAAAGGTCTTTTTGATTTTAAACCTGTATATTTCGTTATGACATAATGGTGCTAAGACCATACCCTGCTTTATGCCCACGATCACACCAAATTCTACCAAGCACAAAATCATGCTATCACAAGTAATCTGGTCTCATGCGATGCAGAACTTTAAAGGGGATAACCAGCAGTTTGAATTGCATCTAGAAATATATTAGAAGCTTCACTGCAATGGTATTATACAAGGAAATTTTACAGCACCAAAATTGTGTGTGATGCTACGATCTATACCAGTTGAAGCTTCCAGTATTATTCAAGGGCAGATCCTTGTAGAGCATGCTTTAAACATTCATCTGGGAAGTGGCAAAGGAATGAGTGACAATGGAGCAGATATCTAATAACAATAGATTATTCATACTTTTTTTTATTTTGATGCCAAAATTCAGCTACTCTAATATACATTGGTGTAGCAATATTATTATATAATCAGGCCACTCACACATTGAAATTACTTGGACAAAAGTGCCTGTTCTACAGCGGGTTCTTTTCAAAATAGGAACAATATGCAGCCCTGATCTGGCAAGCTCTCTTAGTAAGTCCAGCTTCTGACAGTGGCACCCTTGGCCTGGCTGAAGCATTCTGGGTATCAGCAGCTGTAGGACTCTCTAATGGTTCTAGCAGCTCATCTCCTTTGATCTCACAAATATTGTGTAAGATGCAGC